TCAGCCTCCTGAGTAGCTAGGATTACAGGCGTGAGCCACCAGCGCCCGGCCCAGCCAAATAATTTTTTATACTTAAAAATAACAACAACTAGCCGGGCGCCGGTGGCTCACACCTGTAATCCTAGCTACTCAGGAGGCTGAGATCTGAGGATCACGGTTCAAAGCCAGCCTGGGCAGGAAAGTCCATAAGACTTATCTCCAATAAACCACTAGAAAACTGGAAGTGGTGCTGTGGCTCAAGCGGTAGAGCACTTGCCTAGAGCTGAAGAGAACAGGGACAGCGCCTAAGCCCAGAGTTTAAGTCCCAAGACTGACCAAAAATAAATAAATAAACAAACAACAATAACAAACAAAAAAGCCAGGCAGAGATGGCTCATGCCGGTAATCCTACTTACTCAGGAACCTCAGATCTGAGGATATCGGTTCAAGGCCAGCCCAGGCAGGAAAGTCTGTGAGTCTCTTATTTCCAATTAACCACCAGAAAACAGGAAGAGACTGTGGCTCAAGAGGTGGAGTGTTAGCCTTGAGCAAAAAGAAGTTCAGGGACAATCCACAAGCCCTGAGTTCAAGCTCCAGGACTGGAGAGGGGGACCCTCAAACAAACAAACAAACAAAAAGAACCCTAACTTTTAATTTAAAATCTTACTTCTTCTTCACTAAGCAGCGAATAACACACAGGGCATCATGAATGGACCGCTCAGCTTCTTCAATCACCAGTTTGTTAGAACCACGTACAACAATTGTAACTGTTTTTCCTGGGCTTGCACAGCCTGTAATCTTTAGTAAATAAATTTCAAATTAGGTACAGGTTAAAAAAAAATCCAAGCAAATAAAAGCTTAATTATAATACTGTTACCTTGAGCAGTTTTCCAGAACCATCCAAATTGACCTCCTCAGCCAACTCAGCAGAACCCAGCATGTCAGTTGTGAATTGGTCAATATGAGCAACTGGTTTGGTGCCAATTGTCTGTGAAAAAATAAACCCAGAAATCAAGGTAACGTTTTATCAGTGGACATTTTACAAATACAGACATTAATATTTTACCTTACAAATGAATTCAATGTCTTCCCTTTCAATGTCTTTAATCACCATAATCTTCATCTTGTTCAGAAAATGTAATGCAAGATCGCTAAGAGCATCTCTAAAACACAAAATAAATGTTTATGTTAGGCAAAAACCTAACCCAAATCAAACCAAAGAGAAAAAAACCCTCCACCTTGCTGTTCAAAGCTTCTAATGCTTTATTGTTCAAATGTACAATCACATGCAAATTGAGTATTGGGACCAACTTACTTGAGGTCACTGTCATGTAATTTGGGATTAGAACCCCTTCTTTCAAGTGTTATCTATCAAATACTATATAAAATAAGTAGTTACTTTTGGTACAACGTATCAATAGAGTAAATAGGGAAAGGAAAAAAAACATTTCAAACCTAAGAAGCCCTTTGGCATAAATAGTATCTAAAGCATTCTCTCTAAAAGAAATGAACTTTCAATCAATTACATAGACCTTTAATTTAAACGAAATGTAGCCTTTAAAAAATGAATTCCATTTGATGTTTAAACTCATAATCTACAAAGGTTATACAATCCACATTTGTATTATCACAAAGACAATCTGTTTTTTACTCAATATATAATGGCACTCCAAAATGAAGATTTACTATAGATGTCTGGTTCTTAATTTCCTAAAAAGTGTCATTAAGCTAGGAACTGCTGGCTCATGCCTGTGATCCTACTCAAGAGGTTGAGATCCATGGATCATGGTTCAAAGCGAGGAAAAGCCCATCAACTCTTATCTCCAATTAACCACCAGAAAACTGGAAGTGGCACTGTGGCTCTAAGTGGTAGAGCACTCACCTTGAGCAGAAAAGCCCAGAGACAGTGTCTAGACTCTGAGTTAGAGCCCCATAATCCCCCCCCCAAAAAGCGCTTGAGTGTCTAAATGAATCATAATTAAGGGAAGATGAAGAAAACAGTTCCACACCTTAGAATAGACTTCTGTATGAGAAGAACATTACAGCCTGTTTTTTTAATTTGCTTCACTAAATTTAAAATATAGGCTCTCTCTTCTCGCAGCACTCTGTCCATCTGGGCATAGTCAGAAACTACTATTTGATTATCCATCTGTTTAGAAAAACAAACACTTGTAAGTGGAAATATGTACAGAATTCAACTAATACTAAAGTATATACACATGAACTTATGTCTTTTAATTTAATTGCTATTGTCTTTTTTGGGGACAGTCTCACTATCTAGGCTAAGCTGGCCCTGAGTCAATGATATCTCTATCTACCAAGTACTGTGATTACAGGAGCATACAAACATGCCTAGCTCCATTAGATAGCTTTTATTACAAGTCCATTCTAAGCACTGGTAGCTTTAGTCCTAGCTATATAGGAGGCTAAGATCTGAGGGTAGCAGTTCAAAGCCAGAGCTTAATAGTTCATGAGATACTATTTCATTTTTTCTTTTTTTTGTTGGTTGTAGGGCCTGAACTCTGGGCCTGGGTGCTGTCCCTGAGCTCTTCACAGCTCAAGGCTAGCACTCTACCACTTGAACCACAGTCCCACTTCTGGCTTTTTCTGCTTATGTGGTGCTAAGGAATCGAACCCAGGCTTCATGCATGCAAGGCAAGCACTCTACCACTCAGCCACCTTCCCAGCCCCGAGATATTATTTCTAATTAAACAGCAAAAAGGTTAAAATGGAGGTGTGGCTCAGGTGGTAGAACACCAACCCCATGTAAAAAGCCAAGTATATCAACTCAGTATCAAGTCCTTCTCCCCCAACTGCATTTCAGTACAAAAAGAAAAATAAAATGACCATCCTATTTGGTAGCATTGAAGTAGGGCCTTGCGCTTGCTCATTAGGCAGTTCTACTGCTGAAATACACCTCTACCCCCTTTTAAGGTTATTTTTATAAGCCTTTGCTTCCTGCCCAGGTAAGCATCTAGACAGAAATCTGCTTTTTTTCTTAGGTTTCCTTTTATGGCTGTGATGACAGGCATGCACCACCATGCCCAACTTCTTCAATTGAGACAGTCTTGTAGACTCTTCTATACAGATTGGCTTCAATCTGAGATCTTCCTATTCTATACCTCCTAAGAGCCTAATACTTGAATGTCAACCTTTTGCATACAAACTGTTATAAAAACAGCATCAGTTGTATCCTTTTTACTCTATGGCTTGTCATAAAAACTGCTGAGAATGGGCTGGGAAGGTGGCTCAGTGGTAGAGCGCTTGCCTTGCATACATGAGGCCCTGGGTTCGATTCCTCAGCACCACATAAGCAAAAAGAAAAAAGCCGGAAGTGGCACTGTGGCTCAAGTGGTAGAGAGCTAGCCTTGAGCTGAAGAGCTGAGGGACAGCACCCAGGCCCAGAGTTCAGGCCCCACAACTGGACCCCCCCCAAAAAAAGAAAAGAAAATGACAAATTTTCAACAAGTGATATAGTAATGTTTTAAGTAAAAATAATCTTTTCATAGTATGATCATCAGACTAGTTTCAGTTTCTATTTGTTTAAACAAAATATCTGCAAGTTACAGGATACATGAAGTTTGTTTTTGGAAATTTGCAAAGAATATAAAAACTTTTTAAAAACCCTCTAAGTTACAGACAAAATTATTTTCCAGACCCTTTAAATCACCTGTCAGCTATTTTGTTTTTATTTTAATGAGAAAATGTTTTAGTTACTTAGTCAAAAAGTAAGCTGGTTGGGCTGGGAAGGTGGCTCAGTGGTGGAGCGCTTGCCTTGCATGCATGAGGCCCTGGGTTCGATTCCTCAGTACCACATAAGCAAAAAGAAAAGAAAAAAAAAAGTAAGCTGGTGCCAGAAGCTCATGCTTGTAATCCAAGCTACTAATGAGGCTGAGATCTGAGGATCACGGTTCAAAGCCAGCCCAGGCAAGAAAGACCATGAGATTCTTAACTCCAATTAACCACCAGAAAACTGGAAGTGGAGCTGTGGCTCAAGCTGCTCTCACCTTGAGCTTAAGAGCACAGGGACAGTGGCCAACCCGAGTTCAAGCCTCACAACCAACCCCCGCCCCCCAAAAGTCAAAGAGCAAACAGCAAACTAATTTCATTTGGATTTTACTTACATCTGTTTTGGGAGCAGACAAGCAAAACTGAATAAGCCCAATCTTAGCCTTTTCAACTCTAGTTATTCCAGAATTAGCCACTTTTTGGGTGAGAACTAGTCCTTCCACCAATTCACAATCATCGATTGTCCCACTAAGAAAAAAGAAAACAAGGAGAGGATAAAGAGATGGTAGAAATCTGAGACTGTTGTTAACACATTAAAATCATTAACCAAAGAAAAATACTTCTGCCTACTAATAACCCATCCCCAAACCTCTTGGATCAACAACTGTCCCACTATTTTTTTTTTTTTTGGGTCCGGTCGTGGGGCCTGTACTCTGGGCCTGGGCGCTGTCCCTCAGCTCTTCAGCTCAAGGCTAGCGCTCTACTACTTCAGCCACAGCACCACTTCTGGCTTTTTTCTTTTTGCTTATGTGGTGCTGAGGAATTGAACCCAGGGCCTCATGTATGCAAGGCAAGCGCTCTACCACTGAGCCACCTTCCCAGCCCTGTCCCATTATCTTAAGTAAATATAAACAAACCTTGAGATTCTCACACAAATGCAATTTTTAGGGAAACATAAAAAAGGGGTGGACCAAAGATGCTCAAGATGCATTATAAGCATCAACTGTTTCATAAAATAGCACCTGTTGTACAACTGATTAAATAAAAAAATTGAAAATTTAGTTTGCAACTTATTTCTGTCAATATCAAAATTGTAATTAGTGATACTTACCCAAGCTTCTTAACTATTTTAATATCTCTAAGATCTACACTTGTAGCGGTGGCTGGGTCAATCACTTTCATCACTGCATTGACACTCATTGGAGAAAGTAGACTTGAATACTGAGAGACAACCTACAATTTTTTTAAAAAGTTAATCTTCACAGTAGAAAAAGCCCTAGTTTTTCAATGACAAAGTTATACAAGAACTGATTACCATCTTTTTAGAGTAAGATTAGGAAAAGGAACCACATGAGAAGCCTGTATACAAAGATGCCCTTCTACCCAGTGGCATAAATGAGAATATATACACTTGCTTTCTCTTTCATTAATATAGTACTCTGACTGATTAGAGTACCAATAGCTTTAAAGGCAATCCAAAACTGTCCAATTTATTTTTTTGTTTTTTGGTCTGGTCGTGGGGCCTGAAATCTGGGCCTGAACGCTGTCCCTCAGCTCTTCAGCTCAAGGCTAGTGCTCTACCACTTGAGCCACAGCACCACTTCCGGCTTTTTTTTCTTTTTGCTTATGTGGTGCTAGGGAATCGAACCCAGGGCCTCAGGCATGCAAGGCAAGTGCTCTACCACTGAGCCAACTTCCCAGCCCAACTGTCCAATTAATTTTATGTGGAGGTTTCCTACCTAAAATATATGATGTAACCCTTAACCTGAGCAGATGGTAAAAATATGGTTAATGGCAAATATTTATTAATCCTTTTTTAAATATACCAGACAGTGATCATACCACTTTGCCTATATTAATTCACTTAATCTTCAGATGGACTGATACAAAGTCATACAACTTTAGGTAAGTGTTGGAGCCAGAACTGCAATCTAGATTCTAAGACTAGAGCTAGGGACACTCATTCAGCAATATTACTTATTGTCACTAGAACTTTCTAGCTCTTTTTTTTTCTTTTTGCTGGTCATGGGGCTTGAACTCTGGGCCTAGGTGCTGTCCCTTGGCTTTTCAGCTCAAGGCTAGCAGTCTACCACTTGAGCCACAGCACCACTTCTGCCTTTTCTGCTTATGTGATGCTGAGGAATTGAACTGAGGGCCTCATGCATGTGAGACAAGCACTCTACGACTGTAGCTCTTCATTTTTAATGAAGGAAAATGAATATTTGAGCTGGCACTGGTTGCTCAAACCTGTAATCCTACTCAGGAGGCTGAGATCTGAAGATCCTAGTCTGAAAGCCAGCTTGGCAGGAAAGTCTGAGACTTACCCCAATTAACCACAGAAAAAGCCAAGGAGAACTATGGCTCAAATGGTAGAGCAGAGGCTTTGAGCAAAAGCAGCTCAGGGACAGTGCCCCACCAGACTGGCACCAAAAAAAAAAGAAAAAAGAGAGAGAATGAACATTAGAATCTAATACTGATAAAAAAGAGAAAAAGAATTGGGGTAGATAACAAAATATGGCCAGGTGCAGGTGCTTTACACCTGTAATCCTAGCGACGAGGCTGAGATCTGAGGATTGCAGTTCAAAGCCAGCCTGGGCAGGAAATTCTGTGAGACTCTATCTCCAATAAACCACCAGAAAACTGGAAGTGATGCTATGGCTCTAGTGCTGGAGCACTAGCATTGAGCTGAGGACCTGAGGGAAAATGCGTTCAAGCCCAGGACAATGAGGCCCAGAGTTCAAGCCCCACAACTGACAATACACACACACACACACACACACACACGATGGAACAGATGGAACATAATTCTTTTTACTTTTTTTTTCATTAAACTAGTTATTTAATTTTAAATTTCTCAAGAATATAAAAGCTCATCACTTCTTTTAAGTTTCATAACTAAAAAAAAAAACAGATGTAACTAGTTACATCTTGTGTGTACATTACTTATTTTCCCATGAAAGGAGACAATGTAGAAGACAAAACACACACACACACACACACACACACACACACACACACAAACCAAAAACCTTGATAAAGCTCTGCACCTTAAGCATTCATGTACCGACAGAAATAACTGTGGCAGTCATTGTGATTTGGAAGGTGGAAAGATTTAAGAGGCAATTTAACAAGTACTAAAAATGCATTAAATGAAAAGCTGGAAATGGGTACAGTACCTATCAAATAACTCCTTTGTAAGCCTTATGGCTTAAACCAATTAAACAAATGTGGTTACTTAGAAGTTAATATTTTCTATATTAGCATCATGAATCACAGGGGGAAAAAACCCTTCAACTATTATGTGACAATTGTCTCTTCGTGCTTGTCTCACCTTTGAGTTCAATGAAGTGGTTGCACTATTTAACAAAGTTTCTCTGTCACTCAGCTCCACAGGTCGAGACATGTCAGTCAAGACTTCAAGACCCTTTTCTAAAGCCTTCTGGAATGACTCGGAAATGATGGTTGGATGAATTCCTGTTATTTATGAAAGTAGTTAATTGTAACAGATGTGATCTAAAAATATTCTAGCCGGACATTGGTGCCTAATGCCTGTAATCCTAGCTACTCAGGAGGCTGAGATCTGAGGATCTCGATTCAAAGCCAGCCTGGGCAGGAGAGACCGTAAGACTCCTATCTCCAATAAACCACCAGAAAACCGGAAGTGGCGCTGTAGCTCAAGTGGTAGAGTGCTCACCTTGAGCTGAAGAGCTGAGGGACAG